TTCACCTATATTTTATAAGTTTGCTCTTTTCTGCCTCCATAAAGAAGTGTGGAAGTTATCTGCAGCACTTCAGGAGCCAACCAAGTCAGGGAGTAATTTCCTTTGCTCAGCTGGTGTCTGTACATGCCCCCAACTTTCTGTGACCCCATCCTCGTTCGATATGCCAGTAGGAGTGGGGGATAGGGGGCATTGGGTTTGAAATTAGCCAATTAATGATTTCTCAGCAAAATACAACAGCTCCAAACCTACATCTTCCAAACCACAGAAGAATTCTCTTTCAAAATACTTTCCCCTCAGTCAGCAGTCTGCTCTTGCCCTCCCCCACTCCCCCCCCCCCCCCCACTTTGTCAGACCTGCTTCTGGAAAAAGTCTCACTGTTCCAGAAAGTGATGCATTAATTCAACATGGACTTTGTTTTACTTGTCTAAATACGCAGCACAGAAAATAACTGTCCGCAGTTATCAAATGTGTTCATCTGCAGACAGGAGCTCTTCAGCCTATGCTCCTCATCCACAGGCCCCTCACCCTCTTTTTGGTTTTAGACAACAGAAAACCTTGTGCCAACAGATAGAAAAGAACAATAATGACATTTCTTCTGAACAGTTCTGTACTGCGCATGCTCTCTCTTCAACCAGCAAGGGGCAATAAACATTTACTACTTTCCTTGGAGCACAGAGGAGGGGAAAAAAAAAACCCAGATGAATAACTAAAAAGAACAAACCATGTTTGAAGCCGCTCTGGGCTGGTTTGATTTATGCACAGCAAAGCAGCCTTGTGCTGCAAATGACAAACACTTCACCAGCGTCAAGGAGAAGCAGCAGAAAACAGTGGAAACAAAGAGAGAAGTCCTGTGGGTAATGAGGGGGCTGCCAAAGAAGGCAGAGCAGCTCTGGTGGGATGCAGAAGCACACCAGCCAGGCTGTATCACCAGTACTGATCAAGGGCTCTTGCCACAGCTAGAAAACTGGTTGAAGAATGACTCAGCCAGGGTAGGAGATGGGGTTCAAGTATCAAGACCAATTCGAGATGGGGTTCAAGTATCAAAGACTATTGAGTTACATGACTGACCTCCCTCCACGCCCCATCTCCCCCCATCAAGCTCCTGCTCCCCATAAGTTACGCAAGAGGAAGACCTATAGTTTCCAAGTTCTAACTTTAACTCTTTCATTGAATAGCTTATCTTTTGTGCTAGCAGCTTAAATAACAGGCTCATTTGGCAGAAATTCAGCCCATATGTCACTATACTGTTGATATGAATAACTTTAAAGTACTTTCCTGCATTGTAACAGCTCCAGTTGAAAGTCTTGGGCATAAAACCAAAGCAGCAATAACTTATGTCAGCTATCTGGCATATAAAACAGGCATGTAAACCCCCTCTTTTCCCAATCAAAATTGAATAGCACAAATGACTTCTCATTAAATTAGCCTGTAAACAATTCTAAATTGTCTTCCTGGGGAAGTTCCAGATAGATGCATGTGTAGAATTACCATTTTACCCAGCACAAGAGAACATGAATTCTGCAGCTTGGAGGTCTGACAAGTGTCAGGACTGAGGAAAACTACAAAGGTTCAGTCTTCTCCTTACAATTCATATTTGTATTACTGGAGCTTTGTAATGTATAGACAAAAGTTTAGAAAATGTACCACATTTTAAAACATTTAACTTGTAAAAGAAACAAGCTCTGAAGCTACATAAGAAACATAAACCAATGTAATCTCTTAGATCTGGGTACACCATGGACCATTTTAAAGAGGAAAGTTTAGCAACAAATGCCATCTGTTTCTCTTTGTAAAAACAGACTACAGCTGTTCTCTTTGCAGATTTTTTTCAGCTTTAAGAAGGAGCACTACCGTGATATTCAATACTTTGTCCTTCATGTTTCTTATTCATGGACCCAGTAAAATTTCTTTCAAATATCTGAAGTTTAGGGATGCTCAGCCTTTTTAAATGGCTTTGCAAAGGGTAGAGGTAAATATGCTGTCCTTGATAATTCTCCCCTGTTAGGGAGTCTGTAACAAGGAAGCAAGCACTCTTCCCTTCCACACTTGGGCTTTCCTGGTGTTTTTAATATCCAAGTCACTTAGAAAACCCTGGTCTTCAGAAACAATATGTAATTCCTTCAGTTCTCACTTTAAAGTGATTCTATCATAGACTTAGTTGGCAAAAACACTTTATTAGTGGAACCCAAGCATAAATAGGAAGGGAAGCATCTTTTACAGCTTGCTTTTAAACTCCAGTGACCTCTTGGAGCTAACCCAACAGCAGGGACTATCTTGAGCAGAATATCACTGGGTGGGGAGAATTGCAGCCAAAATGTTTAATTGAATTTATTTCCAAGAAAGAGGCCAAGTGGGGAAGGGGAAGCTGTTCTGCCTGCATCGAACAATTCTGGCAAGCTCCTGGTTGAACAGCTCTTCTAGTTCTTCTGGGCTTTAGAGCAGGGGCTTGAAGGTTGGCAGGGGGTGTGTGTACACTTCATGCCTTCGGTCATTTCAGTGCAAACCCACCCGAATTTGGCCTTGTTAGGATGTCTTTTGGGTTGGGATGAGGGCAAGAAGGGAGAAAGAATCTCTTCTGACCTCATATAAACTGTGTTCTTTTAGAGAACAGCAAGCTGGACACCCAGAGAGACTCCTACTTTCAACTGCATTTTGGAAGGCATAAATGTCTGTACAGACTACAGCTATGTCAGATGACAAAGCCACTGTCTCCAACCTGTACCCAAGTATTCAAATCACTTCTTTTACTTTGAATATGCCTGTTTTTTTTAAAAAGCTCCCTAACCTACTATTTCAGATGACATTAACCAGGTTGTTTTTAGCCAGCTTGGCTAGCTGTGGCTGAAATGCATTGGAGAGAGCTTATAGAAGGAGCTCAGCCATGGAGGGTGCCCCAAACCTTGAGATGCTGCAGTTTGTGCCAAGTTCAAGTGCTGAGATTTAGTTTGAGATAAAGCACATGTTCTCCAACACACTCAAAACCCCAGCATTGCTTGGGCCTAATAGGGAAGAAACTGTTATGGAACAAGAAAAAGGCAAGGATGGAAGAGATTAGGGGAGCCTGTGATGGGGAAGACTGCCAAAGACACTGTCAGAGGGCAGTTCTGGAGCTGAAGCCCACAAATGGTGGGCATAAAAGTGAAAAAGATAAAACCTGGGAATGCAATTTAGGTCCTCAAGTTTTACCTCAAGACTACGTTACAGGATTGATCATGCAGTCTTAATATCTTATGGAGCTTTGTTTGCAGTGTTGTATGAATATGAAGGATATATTTGTTTAAACTAGTAAACAAGCTGTTTAGAAAACTGGTTCCCAGAAATGATCCCAGTTAATTTGCCTGGAAGTATGTGGCAGACTTTGACAATGCAAAATAAGTAGCTCCCAAACTCCTGTGGTACAGAAACAAGCACAGGTTCTTTTGTCTCTCAGGGTAGTCCAGTTGCTGCAGGGTCTGCAGTAGGAAGAACACCCTTCTTGTTACTTTGGTTTCCTCAACCACACCAGTTCTGGTGTCCTCAACATAAAAAGGATATGGAACTGTTGGAACAAGTCCAGAGGAGGGCCACAAGGATGATCAGGGGACTGGAGCACCTCCTGTATGAAGACAGGCTGAGAAAGTTGGGGCTGTTCAGCCTGGAGAAGGCTGCGTGGAGACCTCATAGCAGCCTTCCAGTATCTGAAGGGGGCCTATGGGGATGCTGGGGAGGGACTCTTCATTAGGGACTGTAGTGATAGGACAAGGGGTAACGGGTTAAAACTTAAACAGGGGAAGTTTAGATTGGATATAAGAAGGAAATTCTTTCCTGTTAGGGTGGTGAGGCACTGGAATGGGTTGCCCAAGGAAGTTGTGAATGCTCCATCCCTGGCAGTGTTCAAGGCCAGGTTGGACAGAGCCTTGGGTGGCATGGTTTAGTGTGAGGTGTCCCTGCCCATAACAGGGGGGTTGGAACTTGATGATCTTAAGGTCCTTTCCAACCCTAACTATTCTATGATTCTATGATTTTGAAGCAAAGGTGAAAGGTTGCTGAGAAGTTGTATGTGCTTGACACACACAAGTCTGCAAAAAGAACGACCACCAAATCTAGGAGAAGATAAATTTGCTACTTTTAAAGTACATTGTCTCCTTAAGCAGGAAAAGGCACCTCTTCCTCAACCCAAAAGCTTCTCTTGTGGTTACATTTGGTTCCATCCCCTCAATAAGGCTGGCTAAGAGTTACAGAAGTGAAAATTGTGCTTCCCCCTGCCTCTTCTCATTTTGAAGTGTAATGAATACCACATCTGGACAATCTTGCAAGAAGAGTAGAAGCGGACAGAAAGGGGTACATTTGCTCTTGAGAAGATGATTCACACGCACCAGAGAACCGCTTGGGTTGAAGGATACCTCAGACTTCACCCAACCACAGCTTCAGAACACAAAGTGCTCCCCCCTCCAAAGGCAGCGTCAGATCAGCAAAGCTAATAAATAGATACTGCTGCTGGTGGTCTTTTAAACACATGCGACTGACACCAAAAGCTCCCAAAAGTTCTGAAGGAGTCTGTCTTTAGTACCAAGCACTGCTTGCAAGAAAAAGCAAACCGAAACTGGAATGATTCTCATCTTTCCACTCCAAGCACTTTTCCAGCGCACACATCTTTGACCATGGCTTTTGGCATTCTTCTCATTTTAATAGCCCTGAAATATCACTTGTCCTGATTGAGGTAGGAAAGACTGAGTACAAATATGCCCGAAGTTAAAACACAACAGATGTGAGCTTCCCCAAGCAGCACAAGGAGTCAGACTTCAGAGTTACCTTTGATTATCAGCCTCCAGCTCTGGGGGTGCCTAACCCTGGTTCCAAGACACCCTCATGCTGTCATGTGCAAAATCCACATCTGAACTCTGGAGCTTTGGCCTCTCTCTACCAGAGTGCCGAAGATGCAGACCCTGGTACACCACAGCCAAAGCTGAGCATGGCTTTTGGTGCACCATTAGGGGCTGGTGCCATAGGAAGCTATTCACCTCGACTCTGCTGCCTGTTGACTATCCCTCCCAGCGTCCATCGCCGGTCCAGGCGCCTCAGGTGAGCCTTGCGTCGCTTAGAAACTAGTTTGGAACATGGAATGAAAAAATAAGAACAAAAAAAAAGGAAAAAAATGATGGGAAGGTGAGAAATAAAAATAAAACATGGCATTTGCAAGCACTGATCTTGTTAACAGGAATGAGTTAGGTGGCATGCAGACAATTTGGTTTAGTTTATATAGTATAGTGGAACAAGTTAGATTCTTGAGCCTGATCAACACGAATCACCTAGAACTGTCATAAATTGCCACTCTTATTATGGCTTTCCTTAAAAAAAACCCCAAAAGCCAAAACATGCACACACCCCAAAATGAGATGTACAGCTTAAGACTGCTTGTCCAAGGAGGTTGGATCAACATCATTGCTGTTGTGTCTCCCAGTTAGGGTGCATGATCTTTGGAGGTTTCAGTCTATAGCATATGACATCAAACAAAAATAGGGCTCTAACCCTCTCTAAGCAAATTATTACACTATAAACAAAATCTAGGGGATAAATAATAATTTAAAAAAAAAGGCAGCCTGTCTTGTGCGAGTTCACTTGTAACAGGAGCACTCGGGTAAAGAAGCCAGGTGGAAAGTGTCTGATGTCTCCTTGTTTATAACATGACTCAATCACTGCCACAGCTAATTATCACAATCCAAACTTCTAATATACTGATTACAAATACAAGGAAAAACCTACCCTTGCAATTACTGAGCAGGCTCAAGAAGCTAACAAGCCAGAACTGAGAATTAGTGACACACTGAAACAATAATTTATACTTAAATTATAAACAAAGACAAGACACCTATGGAAATGGCATTGAGAGCAGCTGTGCACAGAGGACACCACTTTTTCCTGGATGACATACATAGAACTGTATTCAGTGCCTTCTTATTCTTGTGAAGGTGTGAACAACACAGGAACCATTGGACTGTCATAGAAACAGACAAACGCTTCCCTTTTCCCATTTGTAGGCTTCCATGCTCTTTTGGCAACTACTGCAAGGGTGCTTGGTGCTGCTACAAAGCAATGTGAAGTATTACACTTCAGCTATCACTAAGGTGCAAACACAACTGTTTCGCTAGTGATACAGGGAAACTGTTTGTAAACTCCGACATCAATAATCACTCAATTCTGCTCATGTGCACCCATGAAAGCACACACCACTGTCTTCTAGGATCGTGTTCTGTGGACAATCAGGTACGGAAAAATTATTTGATTTGGGAATGATTAGCTGAACAAGTAAAAAAAAAAAATTAGTGATTTTCCCAGAAGGGGCTTTTGTCTTTTTGCCCTTTATATCTATCAGGGGCTTACAGACCAGACCCTGCACCCTGCTCACTCTCCTCATTTGCTCCTGTATTATAAGGCCTAAACCTTCCTCAGTAAACTGGAGTTGTGGTGAGTGTTGTTGAACAGACTCAATGTCTTATTTGTGGTACTCTGTACTTCCCCTTTGCTGCCTTGTGAGCCATAGAAAAATCAGAGATTTTCAGAGGAGCTGGATTTCAAGCTTATAGATCACTGTGTTTTTAGCTGGAAATCAGTGATCCTCTTGGAAGCCCCTGGTGGCACAGAACACGAGCTGTCTTCACTCCCTATTGGTAGAGTTTTTCTTACCAATTGCTTTAACCTGGTGGCTTTCTCCAAATCAACAGGACATTAGACTGCCAGTTACACACAGGCTACACAAGAGGCAACATAAGACACCTCACTAGACATACAGATTATAGCAGACAGAGAAGTTAAAGCTGAGGTCATGATAAGGCTGCCTGTATTAGGAGGTGTCTGTAGAAGAATAGAAGAAATGAAAGATATCCAACTTAAAGGCTTGCAGGAGGGGTGTGAAAGGGGTAGGATTTGCTTCAGCTGTCAACACAGAGCAGTCCCCCACAGCTCCTTGCTCACACCAGGAGTTTGGAGCATTCAGTCATCCAGCAGCACCCCTTGGACACAGTGGGTCACACAGATCCACCACACACTCTCCTCCTCAAAACATATGACTCCCCCACAGTGATAGCCCTGTTACATCATGATGCTTTTTAGGAGTCGGGGTTTTTTCCCCTCAGCAATACTGAATTTTGCCGTTTGACCTCAGACTTGGACTTCATTGATCATATTAGAGGTAGTCACCAGAAAGGTTATTTATCCACAAGTGTCTAAACCTTTGCAGAGACCATTTTAAGATGTTTACTTTAACAGGTCTCGTGGCTGCAAATGTTTCTTTAGATTGCTTTCTGAATGTTTTCCATGCTTTGTAAGATGGCGTTGGTCTAAACACAGGCCCAGGTAGCAGTCGACTGTCTACCCTCATCCTGACAAAAGATGTTGTGCAGGCTCCAGCGCAGTGAGGAAACACTTTTGTCTTTCTAAGGGAACAGACTATTCAAACAAACACACATGGAAGTATTACTGCTATGTAGAGGCAGCACTATTAGTAAGTTGCATTCAGCACCTCCTTATCTTTACAAGGGGCTGCCGCAGTGGAGCAGACCTCTGAGTCTGCCTGGCTTGTGGGCTTGTTCCAGGCCTGCTGCAAATGGAGAGGGCCACGAGGCTGATACAGAAAGCTCCCTGCATTAGTGTTTCTACCCTTTCAAAGTAGGCAGAGCATAGACTGCACAGCTGCAAGAAGCCCACATCTTCAGGAGTCACTCTGAAACTTGTATGAACTCTAAATTCACAGGCTAGGGCACTTAATGCACTAAACTGCCTTCCTCCTCAGTTATACTGGAGGTCCTATCTCCTGGCAAGTTTCCTTTGTAAGTATGCACACTTTTATATGCTTTCCTTTAAAGAGAGTGAATCCGAGTTGTTCTTTCCTCTCTTACGAAGTAACTATTAGTAGAGGGGAAGAGCAGCCCAAATAAAGAACTGTGGGGGACATGCACAGGACACACAACAAAGAACAAAAGAAGCCTCAGCTTACGTGCTTAATAACAGAAAAGAAAGTTACAGAAAAGCAAGCGAAAGTTAGGGCACATCAAAGCAGTGGTTGAGGTAATGCAATTACATTTGTCACTGAGATGGAACTGAACAGAAAGGGAAGAACAGTCTCAGGTTTCAGCATATCTGGATTTGGAGTAAGGAAAGGAGCAGGACTACTGACTATAGCTGAGGAGAGCAGTATAATGGATTAAAGGGGACCAAGAGGAAAAAGATAAGGAATACCTCATGGATTTTCCATTACCCAGGAAAGACTGCTGTGTGGCAACAGCCCTGTGCAGAGTATGCTGCAGAGGGCAACATGAAAACCAGAAGAGAGCTTGAAATGAAAGTAATAAGGCTGTCAAGCATACATCATATTTAAGAGTCAGGAAAAGGGAGGAAGCTACAAACCAGCAGACAGGGCACTCTTCAGCTCCTTCAGGAAGGAGCAGTAAGCTTTTGTTCTTTACTAACAGGGAACCTTTACTAACTGCTTTTGCATCTGCTAAGATGTTGCATCATACCAGACTGGTTACTTGCCTACCAGTCTACAGCCAGTCTGTCTCTAAACCCTAAGTGACCCAGGATATGGGTAGCTTTGAGCAGGGAAAAATGAGCTAGAGAGCCAAAGGTTTCAATAAGCCACAGATGTCACCCCTTGGGGCCCAGCACAAAGTTATGTTTTGCCTGTGTGCTATCTGAATGGACAGATGGCCACCCCTACACATCTCTAATCCTCCTGCCTGTAAGGAAAGGTCAGCTGAGTTTTCACATACGTTTTACATAAGCATCACATCAAGAGCACCTAGAAATTTAGCAAAAGATTCATTAGAATGGAGAAAATAACAATAAAAGTGTCCTTTGTACACAGTTGCTACATGAGAACTCTATTAAGATGTGGTTAGTCTTTCATAATGGAACAGAGGAACATGTGAGGTTGTACTATTCCATTTCTGGAACCTGAATTTAGCATCTTTAGCCAAAAACCAGCACAGCTAAATGCACATACATGACAAATGGCATCTCAGTTCTAACAGAATGAGACCACACCAAATAAAATTACCTTTCCACACAATCACAGACCACAGCAAACAGCAGTGAAGCTAGTTTCAAAGATTAATTAAAAAAATAGTAATGAGAAGCAGCCATTCAAGTTAAATCTTGCTCTTTCAATGGCCTGTGGCTCTATTGAGTATCTTTTTCCAGTTAAAAGCTTTCACTTGTATAGTTTCTGCAACAAGCCATGCAAGTTCTTGCCTTCCATAGACATGAAAGTCTGAGACCTCTACCAGAACATAGTGGTTGGACTTGAACATGAGTTGTTTGTGTGATTTTTAAAGGGTATTGAAATGAGCACCATTTCAGCTTTTGAACCTCTAGTCACACTGACAGCCTAAGCTGCTCACAAAGGGATTACAGCCATGGTACTTCAATTTCTTCTGCAACAATTTTACTGATATAAGAGAAGAGGTTATTGCACTAGATGAACAGCCACAAGTGGCAAAAGTAGAAAGCAAGCAATAGCAGTTTCCCCTTGATAACAAAAAGCTTTCCATACCTTCCCCAAGTTTGGATGTGTTGATGTCGGAGTCATCTCTGGTTCCATTTTGGGATTCCAGGTACGTAGCAGGGACCCAGCCCTGCTCCTCTGCTGTGCTCACAAACCACCAACCTACAAAAAGAAGTAAAGAAAGTTGCTCATTCAACATTAAGAGAAATAAGAACAGCAGGATGCTACAGAAGAGGTAACACAGAGTCAGCAGCTCTGAGTATTTAAGTATTCTAACCCCCCTAGAGAGGGGGTTTAGTTCTATTATACAATTTCTATGAGATACTCTCACAGCAGTAAATGAACGTGCAGGCAGGCCTCGTGATAAAAGGGTACAATGCAGCAAACACTCAGTTCATTTTAAGAAACCTGAAGTCTATCCATAAAAGCTCTGATTTGAGTTCTCCAATTCAATTTCTCAAAGCAAGTCTCACGGTATGTACATCTACAGTATCAAAACACTTTGTATATATATAGATGAAGTCACAGAAGTCAAAAGATAGAAATAGGCAAGACTTCAGTAGAAGGGCGCATATTTCAAAACAGGATACAAAAGAAGTGCTTCTAGAGCACTTTCCACCACAGCTGTTGTTTAACAAACATGACCTGAATTCAATTCCCTGGGAAGTACTGCGCAGAGCAGAAATACAAGAGAAAAGCTAACTGAAATGTGACTTCAGGCCATAAGCACCAGCTATTTGCTTTCCCACCTGAACATCCAAGCCTCTACCACTATCTACAAAAATCTTCAATATTTACCAACTCTACACAATTAATGTTTAGGTCACATCTGTGGATAAAATTTAGAGGTGAGCCATCTTTAGGGTAAATGCATCCCAACTATAACTATCTTTGCCTCTTTTCTTGCTGACTACATTGATTTATAGAATCCTCCACTGGTTTTGATGTAGACTCACTCATCCAAGAGCTTGGTGCCCTCAGATATGAGCATAACTAGATTCTGCTCCATTCAGATAAGGTCAGGGTTAAGATGCAGGACAATAGAAAGCCAAGCAGGTAAAACCATTTCTGTTGTTTTCTACAATCTCCCATTCTCCCCCAGAAATGCAGGTTGCTTTGTCAGGACAATGCAAACTATTGTTCAACCCCAGTCTTCCAGCCCCTCCAAAGGGAGCTGAGAAAAATAGCATTTCTAAACATGCACCTCGAAACAGTTTACAAATCTTGATAGCTGTCATAAACCCAACAAATTTCCATGGAGATTCCCAAGCCTGCAGCAGGGCCAAGCCAGCTTGGTCTGTAAATAGATGGGGCACAAACCCTAGTTAACTTATGGTGGGACAAAGCCCCAAGCTGTGTGACAGCCACAGCCAGGAGGCCGCAGCCCTGGGCTCAACAAAGGGAATGTGGGCTTCACTGGACTCTGCCAACATACAACTTTGAAGACAAAAAGTACCCCAACAATGCTCAAGTGTTCATGCTAAAAGTCACCCAAGTTCGTTCCAAATCCTGTCATGGAAGATTTTACCAGAAAACAGTAGTTACAAACTCTCCTTCTCCTCTCTGGGGCTCATGGATGGGAGACGATGTGCCTTAAGAAACAAACTGCTCACTTGCCACCACACAGCTGCTAGGTAGCTCTATTTATTTACTCTCAACCCCCCAGACACTGCTCTCCATTTTCTGGCCTAGTAGAGGTTTGGAAACTTTGCTTCACAAGGCTCATGGCTGGAAAGTTAAATTTAGTTATTCCCCCTCAGTAGGAGGTGGATTCTCCTGCCATGAAGCCCACAGCAGTGAACACGCAGGATCTGCCAGACCGATTCAAACACACATCTCCATGGTTGTTCCTTATTTTACTAGCAATGTATCGACATATGCAGCAAACACAGTTTAGCACACACTCATAATTTGGCACAAAATGTGAGAAGTTGGCTTTCAGCTGATATAAATCAGACTGGAATAGTTTATGTAAACTCTTCCTCAGAAAGCAATTAAACACAATTGCACAAAAAGAACTTGCCTACACTTAAGAACGTGTGCTGAGGCCAAATTCAAACCATGGTAAAAACGTCTTTGGAGGCCTGGATCGCCCAGACTTGTGACACAGTGCTAGCCCATTTCACAATACACCTCCTCTGGTTTGGCTCACTGAGCTGCATCATGACCTCAGAGCTGAGTTTAAGGTCTTGTGTTTGGGGCCATAGTGTAACTGAGCCTCCATCCAAACCATCTAAACAGGGCTCCCTGCTAAAAGGCAACCCCTCACCACCACCCCTAGGCATGCATACACGTATCTTCCCACTGCTTCTAAAAAGCCTTAGCAAGGAAGCCTCTCAACTCCACTGACCTTAAGAACAGGCTCCCACATACTGGCTGGAAGTCAAGTCACATTTGAGGAAGGTTATAGTCAAGTAACTCAACCAAATCAATTGCAATGTGCAGACAGAGCATGTAACAGCCTAAGTGAGGTTTTAAGCTGCTTTGAGTCTTCAAGCCTTCACTAAGATTGAAGCTCCTCATCTCCACAGAACTCATGAAAGTTATCATTTGTTTCTAAAGATTCCCTTTATAAACTATGTGCAGGGGTAAAGTACATCTGAGAAACCTCCTCAGCTACTGAGAAATTGGCAGCATCTGTACAGACTGAGAAAACCAATCTCTGCTTTTGAATTCTCTTCTTCCATTTCAAGCTTGCTTCTTAGAAGGACAAAAGAAAGGCTTTAATGCAGCTCACTGAGTGGCATGTCCACACACACACACAAAAAGTGTGTTTGACTTAAACAGCCTGAACAACTGAGAAGCCTGAAAAACTTCCAGCAGCACTCCTGGCAGCAGATAAGTCAAAAAACGGATGATGCTCACAAGCAAGATGTTCACGGTCTTAGAATGGCTGAGCAGAGATTGCAGAGGTAGCTCACTCCCTATGAGGCAAAAACCTGAATTATGATGGCATATCTAAGCCAGGAAATTAAAACATAGTGCAAGAATTAAACTCCTAGCAGAAGATGCCTGAAGCACAGACAAGTTCCGCAATGCAGTCCATGCATGACAGCAGTGAACTGCAGAACTCTGCCTAGCTGATCATGAAGTACTTGCTCTGCACCAACCGCTCTTTAGAAGGACTAGGTTAGCTGCCATTTGGTCCCACCACTTCCACTCTTTCTCCTCCTTCCCTACCCCCAAGTTCATAGGGGTTCAGACAGACTGGGCTTAGTTCGTGCCATTATAATCTTGACTTTCTGCAAACAATCTCTTGTCCCCTCCCCTGCCATCTTTCCCAACCCAGAGCATCACAGAAATGTTGTTAGAGAAGTTGCTTTTGAAACAGTGAACAAAACATTGCATTTATTTGGAGTTCTCCCTCTATGCTGGAATTGAGCTCAACTTCACAATCCATTATTAAAACCATTCTGCAGCAACATCTGCAGAGAATTATGTAAAGTTATCTCTGTGCACTGCCAAGCTAGTCTGAGGTTCATTCTTGCACTCACCATCTGTAAAAATTAGGCAGTGCTTTACAGCTTGTGTTAACCCTTACAGGTGCCCTTACCTCTCATGCATGAAAACACAACTCTAAAACTCATGTGGCATGGATGCCTAGACTGAGACTCATCAGTTCTCATCCCTGATGAGGATTCAAAGGACCTTTGAGTCTCACAGAATGCACAGAAGGAACTGCAGCCACTGTGTGCAGACCAAGCTCAGCTTGAGCTTTGCCACATTACTCCAAACCCTGCCTTAATACTAATCCAATAATACGATCTTTTTAAGGTAGAAATACAATTTTCTTCCTACATTTGCTGACCCTTTGGTTGGCATCTGTCATCATCCCTAGCTGCAACAGCCAAGATGCCTCTATACTCAGAATCCACTTAGACTCCAATAACCCTCAAGTATTTTCAGTATAGAGCTACAACAGTTAGCAAGAGACAAAAGGTTCCACTTTTCACATATACATACACATGGCAAGATGATGGTTGCCAAACACATGGGTCACAAGAGTCAATAAATGACTAAAGTACTAGAACTGTGAAAACCATATTCTTGCTTTTAGTCGTATTCGTAGTCCTCTCACCAAAAGGCTTTCAAAAAAGCAAAAAGACTTTAGGCAAGTGTTATCCACAGCCTGCACCACGGGAAACTACAAGAGCATGGTCAAAGGACTGTCTTTTAGGCAAGTTTACACACATCCTCACCCATCCACGCTTCAATATTGTCCCTTTCTCCACACCTACAGGAAACCTAGCTAATCCTGTTGTAGCCTACCTAATCATAAGAAGCTACAAATCACCTAAAGTGAAAATGCATGATCATACTGGACATTGGTTTCTAATTCTCCTCTCAGCCATTAATTTCTCTGTAGACTTTGACTGTCAATTTATGAGCTTAACTAAAGTAAACAAGAAAGATAGCAACACTGTAAAAGTGATCAGGAATCTCCCTGCATGAGTGGACTACCCATTCTTCTAAACAAATACTTAAACAACACTCCATCTCTCAAGAGTCTTGGAAAAATTCCACTCAAACAGCAGTCTGGTACATTTGACGTGCTCTTTGGACTTCAGGGAGATGCTCCCTTTTAAGTCCTTCTGCCTTGGAACTAACTCTTGAGGGTTATTTTGATCCAACAACTTAAATTGTCCTACAAAGCAGTACTAGATGCAATCAGGTCACTTCCAGACCTGGCACACAGAACTTTTCATGCCAACTGCTTATTACTTTCTTTCAGACATGTGCCCCGTTTCATTAAAAACCAGCTAAGATAAGCGTATTGCTACGCAGATGAAGGCACTTGCTTTTTCCACCCCTCCAGAGCTCTTCCCACACAGTACATGTGCATTTGATACACATAAGGAAATCAGTTGAAATTGGCTTGGACAGACCTCCAAAGAACATGCATAAGCAGAAATATAAAGGCCCCAGAAGTAGCATTTTGCAAGAGGGATTTTCTGCAGTAAGCATATTCTCACACCCACTTCCTAAAAATACACTACAGTGTCCGTATACTGTTAGATCCTATCACTGTACATGCTGGCTCTGCTCGCTGTAAAAGGATCCTTCAGCCCGACACACTTGGCAAAGCTGCTGGGTTGAAAACTTTGAATTTATATGAAGGCCAGTGTCCAATGTCTGAGCATTTTGTCCTTAGACTCACAGAA